TGAAACCGCACGTGATTTGGCAAAGCCTGCGATTATTTTATGCGCAGCTTGTCAGTGCAGCGGCTGATCGGTAGTAAATGCTTCTCCATCTGAACACCAGAGGGCGTCTCACACACACACACGGCAAATCATCTGAACTCCAGAGGGCGGCTCACACACACACACACACACCAAATATGCCTGCAGAAGTACAATAACACACATCATTCCAGGAAATCCCTATCGCTGTAGCTGATTAAACAGAACATTGAAATGCTTTGATTGATTTATTAAATATTGTCTTTTGTTGGATAAGAGGTTCATAAATGCTTCATGTTTGGAAAGATGTTTGACGCGTGTTGCTTTTTCAAATGCACGTTATAAGCGACTCAAACTCACAGTGCTTTCAGATAGAGCAGCGTTTACTAATGATCACAGAGCCGTACGTCACTGACAAGCTGCACATAAAAAATAATCGCAGCCTTTGCGATTTCATAATCGCAATAAACCAAATCGGTCTTCAGAAATATTGTAAAAAATAATTTTTATAGACTTTCCATAGCTGCAGGGTTCTCAAGTCTCACGCATTGGCCGTGAGACACACGCAATTCAACCAGTTCACACGCTCACACGCCACACCGTGTATATCTCACGCTGAAAAGGCAATGCCAACCAAGTTGTCCTGCAAGCTTTATATATAACGTTGTATACGAGGCGCATGCACACAAAGATAAGTTTCCTGCCGCCAGCCCGTCCGCATCTCGGCCAGATTGCGTTCGTTACTAGGCAACTTATAGACGCGCGAAGTCCGCGAACACACACGGAAGTTCGGCCACCGCGACATCGCGCGAACACACGTCGTGATGGAGAAAGTAAGTTGGAAGAAAGCTCGCCTAACATTTTTAGACTAGAACATTTAATATATAGCCCATCGTATACATTATTGATGCAGTCAAAAACTCTACAACTGCTTTGCAACCAGGCCAAAAGCTTTGGCTCAGTTTGGCTAAGGAAATGTTATTGGGTATGGGAAGGAATGAAGATGTATTTCTTCAGTTTATTTTAAATTCTATATTATACTGTATTAATAGTATTTCTAGTTACATTAAGGCTAAAGCAGAGTGCTCTTGGTAATATTGTATATCCTGTCAAAACATACATTAGCCTAATCATTGCCATTGCATTTGTATTTTTCAAAGATGTCAGGGGAAAATGCAAAAATATTTGTTTTTTCAAACATTTTTGAGCAATTTGTTATATATTTGTAGCCTAATTTTGAAATATAACATTAAAGAGTAGGCCTATATTTGATGTGATGAATTGCTCTGTCATTTATCAGATTTACCAATGGTTATAATTTAAATTTTTGCTGGTTAATTATGAACAATGGGTAAAATTGGGGGTGGGGCTAGGTGGGGGCGGGGCTCCATTTAGGCCCCTCCCCTAACCGCATGTGATCTCACTCCAAGCTTTTGATAAAACTTGAGAACCCTGTAGCTGTAATCAGAGAGCTTTTTAGATGAATGATCTGTAATGGTCTGATAATGATGCATTTTAATGCCAAACAGTTTTCATATTCCATATTCAGACATCATTACACCCTCAGTACTTGCTGAAAGCTTAATTTTTCTTACTTGTCTGACTTTACCGGTTGTAATCGTTTGTCTCCTAGAAGCATTTCAATTTTAGAGAGGTTTACTGCGGTATACATCATCATGTTTGGTATCCAACATGCGCGGTTTTATTATGTAAAGTGAATGGAGTCATGCACCTGTTTTTGGCTCGTTCAGTTTGTTGACTGGAACAACGGGGATTTAACACACATTTCAGTCATTTCTCCAGTACTTTTGTCTGACGCTTTAGAATAAGCACAAGAAGAAAAGGATCTAGGACTCTAGGGTTCTTGACTTAATTTCAAAGAACCCTTTCTGCCAAAAAGGAGAAATGTCTTAAATATAGGGATGCACAATATATCGGCCACCACATCGGTATCGGCCGATATATGTCCAGTTTTAAATGTTATCGTTATCGGCCTGATAAGAAAATTTGGCTGATATATTAAAGCCAATAAATAATGGATTATTTCCTTCAGCTGAGACTCTTCAGATGCGCACTGTTCAACATGATGGTTTTAAAATGCTTGAAATATGATTGGAATCACTTCAAATAGGAAAATGGGTGGACATTTTTCACCACCTGAGCAAAAACAGTCTTTATACCTGACCTGTACAGCATAGCCTAGGTAGATGCACGTTTTTAACATGCACTTATTGGTATATTTTTGAAAACAAGCAGTTAAGAAGTCACTAAATTAAGCACATTTTAGGTTACGTGAGATTTTTATTTTATTTTATTTTTTACAGTGCTTAACTGTACCAGTCTTTAACAAGAAATTCAATAAAAAATCATTTACAAAATCTTCTGCAGGACAGTTCAATTCTTTACAATATAATATAGTATGAAAAAAAATTAAGCTGTTACACTGATGATTTAATGTAAATTATTTAATTGTACAAAAACACTTTATGGTTTTCCCAAATCATTTCAAAGTTAAATGATTGTTTATTGCTTATGAATTTCCAATATTTTGTTTAGCAGGGGGTTTCAAACGTTTTAAATGGCAAGGAGGCCTAAACAATAATACCCTTGTGAGATCAATTCTTTATTAGGCTTATAATATAATAAAATATAGGCATAATATAATATAAAAAAACAAATTTAAGTATTTGAAGTGATATAATATATCAGTTTAAATGCTTCAATTTGTTTTCATATTATAGGCTATTATTATAATATGAAAACAAACTGAAGAATTTAAATAGATCTAATAGCTAAATATTTTGAAGAAAAGTAAAAATGTGAACTCTTTTATAGTAATCTAAACATCCCTGAACCCCCCTCCCCCCAACACACACACACACACAAATCTATTTAAAATAATGTATGTAATGTATTTTGAGTTTGCACTGCACGCGGGTGGGTGTGTAATTGTTACCGTTCTGTGCCCATCATTCGTTATTTCCACCACTTAATCAAACCACTCTTCTTTTAAAACATGATGATGTGATTTTATTTCACGTCTTTGTGTTTCTTGTTGCCTCTCTCGTATTGAGCTATTTGGTCCGCAACCATGACAGTATTCTTACCACGACTGATTTGGCTCACTGGCTGCAACTCACACGCGCTCATATCGTTCATATCGTTCTCTCTCTATGAAACCTGTAAACTGCATTCATCGGTTTTTACTCTATAGCGATACCAACTCTATAGCGGTTGACCAGAGCACTGCAATTATTTCTCGCTTAAACTACAATCAAATGGATTTCCCAACACATTTCGTGTCTGTCCTCTGCGCAGCATTTTATTCTTTCTGTGCGGTTGCGGCATCAGAAGTGCATTCAGCTTAGAGTGAACATGGAGTACAACATGTGCTGTCATATAAGCTACATAAAATTATAATTGTGTGTTTGGGACTTGGCTTTTAATGGTGAGACTTTTGTTTTTGTAATCAGGCTCTCAAAAATGATATAAAAATTTGGATTTAGATTTATCGGCCAATATATCGGCTATCGGCTTTAAAATATAAACAATTATCGGTTATCGGTATCAGCCAAAGATTTATATCAGTGCATCCCATAGACTGTAAAAAAAATGGACAAGGCGTCTGTGACGTCACCCATAGACTTTCTGAATAACGATTTTGAGGCCGTTTATGGGGGGTATGGGCGGCGCCATCTTTTGAAAATCTTGGGAAATCCTAACCCCGCCCACCTTCTGGCCAATCCATATATGGGTAAAAGGGCGGGCTTTGTGTGAGACTGAGCCGGCCGGTGGACGCGCCTCTTCAGCCAAACAGCCTCAGCTATCTGTAACGTTACAGGATCGACTGGCAGACTAGGCTACTTTTTACAGTCTATGGCTACTACATTCACTGCAATATTAGATCTCATTAAACGACAAATTAAACACAATGTACTATTTAAATCGATTGCTGGACATCGGTATGTTATTGTACATAGGTACATCTGATTTATGATTTAGCATTGTATTAGCCTCCCAAAACCCCACCTGTCCCTACCTCGGACGCTAACTTATCTGAGGCGATTTAATGCTAACTGTTGCAGTGGCACTGCCCACAAACATTGATGCATAATAGTGCTAACTACGTGAAATAGTAGTGGAATGTCACTTACCGTAAAAAATGGAGCGAAGTACTCTTACAGTGAGTGTCGGTTAGTGCAGTTTATAGCAGAGCAACCCATTTTATGTACGATATTTCAATACAAATGTTCAGAAAGGATACAGAGTTGGTATGATGTGTTGTGTCAGATCATGGACGAGACATCAAATTTCAGGAATTCCACTCGACGCAGCACGTTATCAGCTGTCAATCAAGCTGTCAATCAAAGTTAACCACGCCCTTACTTGTCATACATTTTATATCTAAATACAATCTAAACTAACGAGTTAGAAAAAAATTCACCCCCCTCACAGTTGTCAGGCACTCGGAACCTATCGAAAAAATACAATAAAAGTCCATGGGACCAACCTGTAAAAACATGAACTTATGCTGTGAAAACGGACATTTTAACATGGGGTCTATGGATATTTGCTCCCTTTTGGGACCTCACTCTAGCGGATTTTCGATGTATTGCAGTTTTTCGCACTTCCGGCTAGGCTTCATTTTTCAGATTAGAATGTTGCCGCTTGGTGCATCCCTACTTAAATGATTGCATAATACTTAAATTTTTAATAGGTTGTTTATTTTTATTTTCAATTGCTAAAGTATGTTTACAAACTGTTTAGTTCATAAAAGTTGATTTAAAATGATAAATTAATGAACTAAATTAACTAATTAAAACTAAATCCATAAAATTATCCCATGATGGGAATGTAAAATATGAAGTGGCTAACAAGAACCTGTAGTGTGGGGACATGACTTTTTCCTCCCTTACGCCACCAAAAGCTTGATCATTGACCGACAGTGAAACTGACGTGTGTTTGTGTTTGTTGTTGTTCAGACACTGGAGGAGCCCCCTTACCTGACCGTTGGTACTGACGTGAGTGCCAAATACAGAGGGGCGTTCTGTGAGGCCAAGATCAAGACCGCCAAGAGACTCGTCAAGGCAAAGGTGAGCCACTGAATCATAAGATGAACCAAAGCAGCAGAGATCATTTGAAGACATATTTTGAATGCATGGATGATCATTGATTAGAAATGACTATTATGCAAATTTGAGGTGAGTTTGATCGTACAGTCATCAAAAAATTAATGTAACGTAAATAAAGATAATAAGAGGGATCTGTATTTTGTTTGTTAACTGATGTATTGTTCATCCCTACTATTGAAAAAATACTGAAAGAGAGTATTGCTGGTCTAATGTTGAAATAGACTTTACATTTTTAGTCATTTAGCAGACGCCTTTGTCCAAAGCGACTTACAAATGAGGACTAAAGCAAGCGAGTCATCGTGAAGAGGCAAAAACAACGCAAGAAGTGCTCAAAATACAAAGTTCAGGCATTGCTCAGAGTAGCATAAGCCAGACAAGGGAAGATTAAAGGAAAAGGATTTTTTTTTTTTTTTACGAGTTTAAGTGCTCACGGAAGAGATGAGTTTTCAGCTGTCTTTTGAATGTTGTTTGATTCTGCATTATGGATGACGGTGGGGAGATCATTCCACCAGCAAGGAACCGTGAATGAGAATGTTCTGGAGAGTGATTGTGTGGCTCTCTGTGATGGACCACGAGCCGTCGCTCATTGACCGATCGTAGGCTTCTGGTAGGGACGTAGACTCGTAGGAGCGAGTGGAAGTAGGACGGAGCTGAGCCTGTGGTCGATCTGTAAGCAAGCAAGTGTCAACGCCTTGAACTTGATGCGAGTGGTAGCCAGTGCAGAGAGATGAACAGTCGTGGGCTCGTTGAAGACAAGACGAGCTGCAGGCGTTCTGGATCATTTGTAGAGGTGTAGTTGCACATGATGGAAGTCCAACCAGAAGAGCATTGCAGTAATCAAGCCTAGAGATAACCAGGGCCTGGACGAGAAGTTGTGTCGCATGTTGCAGTGCAAACCTGCATGATCGAGCTGTCTTTGTAATGTGGTCTGTGAAGGTCAGCTGGTCATCAAATATTACTCCAAGATTTCAGACCGTCCCTGATGGGGTGATTGAGGATGAATCTAGCCGCATAGTGAAGTCGTGCTGTAGAGACGGATTGGCAGGGAGGATGAGAAGCTCGGTCTTTGCCAGGTTGAGCTGCAGGTGATGTTCCTTCATCCATGCCGAGATGTCCGCCAGACAGCCTGAGATCCGTACAGCTACTGTGGGATCATCTGGTTGAAATGAGAGGAAGAGCTGGGTGTCATCAGCACAGCAATGGTAAGAGAAACCATGTGCCTGTATGATGAGTCCCAGTGATGTGGTGTAAATGGAGAAGAGGAGCGGTCCAAGGACTGAACCCTGAGGAACCCCTGTGGTCAGCTGATGTGCTTTGGATACCTCGCCTCTCCATGCGACCCTGAAAGACCTGTGAGATAGGACTCAAACCAGTGGAGGGACGTTCCTGTGATGCCCAGTGATGAGAGGGTGGACAGAAGGATCTGATGAGGACTTAAGTGTTGAGTAGAGCTGCACGATTAATCGATCTCGCTTCAAACACTCACGTGATCTTATTCTTAAATCCAACGATTCAGCTGTGTCTGTTAAACCTTACGCTCACAGCGAACATTCAAATCTGAGCAGTTGTAATGTATAGGTATTAAACACATGTATAGTTTTATATTAAAACTTGACAGCTTTTAACAGGCCTTGTAATTTCGATGCATTTGTGTGTCGTTGATATTGGATTTAAATTGTTGGAAAATGTTTTGAAGTTGGAAAGCAAATTGAGTTTTCATTGCTGTCACTTCCGAGGACTCGTCCTCATTCCTAATGAAATATTCTGCTCATTTTCCTCCTCTCTCTCATCAGGCTTTCTCTTTCTGTCTCGTCTCTCCACTCATGTTTTTCTCCTGATGGCTCTCTGATGTTTTATAATTCCTCTCTCATAGCGCTGAGATGTGATTAGCTGCTCCTCGCGAAGCAGAGACCTTGTTCAAGGTTGTAATCATATTCCTGCTGTTGTACTACTGATGACATCATTGCGTCTGTGTCTCTCTCTCTCTTCACAGCAGTGTGTCTGTTTGTTCTGTCTCTCTCTCTATTTCTCGGTTGGTGTTTATCCATTAGTCAAAGGACGGACAGTCTTTACATTCACACTGCAAGTGTGTCTGAGAAATAAGAGCAGGGCATTAGATCTCATCGCATGTGAACTGATGTAATGTCCTGTCTGTCAACTGATTTATATACGCTTCCTGATATGTATATACACATATAGTTCTCTTAGTTCTGTGATGTAAGGCATCTTTTGGTTTTTGCAATGTCTGATTTATCGGATTTGTATTTTCTTGTGTTCCTGCAATCTTATTCATTGGTCATGTGCATGTTATTTTATGCACTGAACTGACAAAATATATACCGTGATTTATATAAACTCACTTTGGATAAAAGCATCTGGCAAATGCATACATAATGTGATGTTTTGAAAATGTATGTTTTACAAATCATGTTGATTTATAAACACTCATCATTATAATTTTGACCATAAGATTTTTTTATTATTATTTTTCTGTATTTTTATTTATTTTATTAGTATTATTATTAATAATAATAATAATAATTAATTATTGTTTATTTTTTATATATTTAAAATATTCATAGTGAAAACTGTTTAAATTGATTTAGGATTATTCACTTTATCACTTTCAAAAAGGATAAATATGTAAAACCTATATATACACTCACCGGCCACTTTATTATGTACCCCATGCTAGTAACGGGTTGGACCCCCTTTTGCCTTCAGAACTGCCTCAATTCTTCGTGGCATAGATTCAACAAGGTGCTGGAAGCATTCCTCAGGGAGTTTGGTCCATATTGACATGATGGCATCACACAGTTGCCGCAGATTTGTTGGCTGCACATCCATGATGCGAATCTCCCGTTCCACCACATCCCAAAGATGCTCTATTGGGTTGAGATCTGGTGACTGTGGAGGCCATTTTAGTACAGTGAACTCATTGTCATGTTCAAGAAACCAATTTGAAATGATTAGAGCTTTGTGACATGGTGGAAGTAGCCATCAGAGGATGGGTACATGGTGGCCATAAAGGGATGGACATGGTCAGAAACAATGCTCAGGTAGGCCGTGGCATTTAAACGATGCCCAATTGGCACTAAGGGGCCTAAAGTGTGCCAGGAAAACATCCCCCACACCATTACACCACCACCACCAGCCTGCACAGTGGTAACAAGGCATGATGGTTCCATGTTCTCATTCTGTTTACGCCAAATTCTGACTCTTAACATCTGAATGTCTCAACAGAAATCGAGACTCATCAGACCAGGCAACATTTTTCCAGTCTTCAACTGTTCAATTTTGGTGAGCTCTTGCAAATTGTAGCCTCTTTTTCCTATTTGTAGTGGAGATGAGTGGTACCCGGTGGAGTCTTCTGCTGTTGTAGCCCATCCGCCTCAAGGTTGTGCGTGTTGTGGCTTCACAAATGCTTTGCTGCATACCTCGGTTGTAACGAGTGATTATTTCAGTCACTGTTGCTCTTCTATCAGCTCGAACCAGTCTGGCCATTCTCCTCTGACCTCTGGCATCAACAAGGCATTTCCGCCCACAGAACTGCCGCTCACTGGATGTTTTTTCTTTTTCGGTCCATTCTCTGTAAACCCTAGAGATGGTTGTGCGTGAAAATCCCAGTAGATTAGCAGTTTCTAAAAATACTCAGACCAGCCCTTCTGGCACCAACAATCATGCCACGTTCAAAGTCACTCAAATCAACTTTCTTCCCCATACTGATGCTCGGTTTGAACTGCAGGAGATTGTCTTGACCATGTCTACATGCCTAAATGCACTGAGTTGCCGCCATGTGATTGGCTGCTTAGAAATTAAGTGTTAACGAGCAGTTGGACAGGTGTACCTAATAAAGTGGCCGGTGAGTGTATACACACACACACACACACACACACACACACACACAGTGAGTGTAATTGAAGGTTCGTTCGTCAGCAGTGGCCTGTTGCAGAACAATCAGAGCTTCATCAGACGTGACAGTGGCGAGATGCTGAAGTGTGAGACTTATTATCTCCTGTGACACTGACACATTCATACACACACACACACACACACACACGTCTCACGGATGATATTCATTTGACAAACTGCTCAACACAGCTGGAGAAGTGCATGTGTAACCCTAAACACATGGCAGTGTGAGAATACATGGACTTCACCGAGTTAATCAACTATATGGACTATCCCATATTCTTGTTTATTATTAGTATGCTTATGTATATTATACAATCCATATATTTAAATTTTGTGGATCGGATTCTCTCAAAACAATGTGCTGGGCATATTTTTTTTATTTATTTTTTTAATGATGACTGTTAATTGTTTTGACCATAATGAACTACTTTAGAGAAATAAAAAATATAATTAAAAAAATTAAGTTTAATTATTAATTTCTATTTGTAACTTTGAAATATTCATATTCTGCGAAGCTGCTTTGAAACAGTGTTTTGTAAAAAGCGTTATACAAATTTAATTGCAATTTAATTGATACTTCAATTGATTCATGCAGTTCATGATGTTTAGTCACAAAAGTTGTGTTGGACTGTATTGTTGTGTGTGATTTTGTCGTTCATATTCAACATCCTGCTGAATGGTGTCCATTTAATTCAGATTTCAGCTTGTGAAATGAAAAGGATGAATCTCAATTCTTGCGTGTGGCGTCTCACAGTGTTGTGGGTATTTGTGGAAATATGACATCTTGTTCCTCCATCTTTATCCCATCCTCTCGCACGGCTTGTTTTATCCGCCCCACTTTCAGTATAATTATCTTCTGTTCTGTGACACTCAATGATTGGGTTACCCAGCGTGTCTTCTCTGCGTTTGGTCTGATATCAACACAGGGACGTTCGGGTCTCTCTGGTGAGGATCTGGCTTCCTGATATGAGCGATCAATGCTTCTTGGCCGTTAGGGAAAGCCCTTCCGTGTTTCCTATCCTCACTGACTGTGTGTGTGTGTGTGTCTCTCCAGGTCACCTTCAAACCCGACGCGTCCACTGCGGTGGTGCACGATGAACACATCAGAGGACTTCTGAAGGTAAGAGCAAACCTGCCTCCTTCAGCACAAACACAGGCTGTGGCGCATCACTTCCTGGGCTTTATGAGAATGTGTCTGGTAGTGGTGCAACGGATCACAAAACTCACGCTTCGGATCATTTACGGATTTTGAGCCACGGATCGAACCATTTTTCGGATCAGCCAAAAAAAAAACATTTTTATACACATATATGTATATTAAAGCTCACTTGAGGTACTTTGATACCACAGCAAAAACTACTAGCCTAACTGTTGAAGTTCAAACATTAAAGACAAGTGAATAGTCAGTAATAAAATAGGAAAAAAATACACATTACAAGCAGAGATTAATACTAAATAACACAGTTACAAAGTCTTAACAGTAGTATTCAGGTACAGAAATGTATAATTAGGCCTAAATGTAAAATAACACTGTGTTCACTGTAGAAATTAAATATAGGTTCATCTTTGTGTCACTTTAAGACCGAAGAAACCAGTCCTAAAGCGAAAATCCTGCGTGATGCAACCAAATCAAAGCTATTTAGAACATATTTCAATTTAATCATTTTGTTAATGTACTCCAAGCCCTTTTGACTTTCATACTTACAATGAACGCAAAACAAATGAAATATTTGTAAAGTAGCCCGTGATCACATCTGTCAAGCTCCCAGAATGCATCATAATGACACACTGATTTGGACACGGTGTTAAAACTGTTGTCTGGAGTTCATGTTTGATGGTGCCAGTGATGCCAGTCATCCATATAATCCTCTATTTCATATTTATATTGCATTGAAATCTTTGTTTGTTTTTCCTTCCTTTTTTTCTTCTTCTTTTTTTTAGCTCACTCATTTGTTTAAAAATCTCCTGGCAAGCCAGCCGTTGCATCTGTAGCTGTGATTATGAATATGACAGTAATTATTCTCCGCCATCAGCTCATCAGAAAGCATCTCTCTTATATCTGGCAGAACTGTTTGCTTTGAGCACTTGGTTATTCTTTTTCAGAGAGAATAAATGACAAATGCAAGCAGCAAATAGGTGAAAACCACTGATGCCCAGACTAGCTAAACTCTCAGAGCTAGTCATTTAGATAAATGTTTTTTGCTTTGTATATAAATAATATATACATTTGTATTATAATTATTATATAATAATAATAACAATTGCATTACAGTAATGATAATGAACTTAAACTGTTATGAAACTATCAACAACAAAAAAAAATCTTAATTTTCTTCTTCTAATTTTAATTTCTCATTTATTTATTTATTTTTGCGACCTCTTGTTGGCATGTTCTTGACAGGTTTTGCCCTTATTTGAACATGTTAATCATTCAGAAACATCTGATACCATCATTTTACCATGGTAGTGCCATAGTACTTGATGGTAAAGGTAACGTTCCTTCCTCACAGAACATGATAAACCCTCACAGGCGTTTCTCCATGAGTAATGTCAGTGATTATGGGAAGAAATAAATAAATTCCGGTTGCTCATCTCCAGCCTCAGTGTTTTAACGCCCAGCGAGTGGTGTAACACCATGAAAGCCTGTGAATGAGGGATTGTGTTTTCTCTGGTGTTAGGTGGGCGCTGTGGTCGAAGCCAGGAACCAAGATGGGATCTACCAGGAGGCCATCATCAACAAACTCACTGACGCTAGTCTGTACACCGTCGGTAAGTCCATTACATTCCTTTCAAACAGTGACTCTTTACCTGAGACGAAGAGGGAAAGGCTTCTTCTGTCCTCGTTTATGCTTTGCTTTAGTTTATAGCATCATATGTGAGAGCAACACAGTCAGTTGGAGATGCTGGGTAATTTTAATTTGCGTTCAGGGCTTGTGTACTGATAAATGTATTTTTATTTTGTTTTTATTACGTTGTGATTGTGTTACGTTTTATGTTAGGATAATGGTAACGCTTCCTTTTACAGTACAGTACTTGCGTGTACTTACCTAGAAAGTACTGGCTAATATAAGGTGAGTACATGGGTTAGGGGTAGGTTCAGGGTTAGTATTGAAATTACTATAATAAGTACATAGTATATACATGGGTAACAGGACTGTAAAAGGAAGCGTTACCAGGATAATATGATATGAGTCAGTCTCCATCTCTCAAAAACATGAAATATTGTGTTTTTATTCCTCATTTTGATGGCTTAATGCGAATTTAGTGCACATATGTGTCGCCACATGGAGAGAAAATCTTGATGAGTATTAGATAAAGTTCTGATGGTGAATTTCGAAGACCTGTGAGTCACAGCAGATGTTTTCTCCAGCAGATGGTTTGTACGTCTCTAATTTGACACTGCCGTTCTTTCGATTTTACTTTAACCATATTCTATGCTAATGAAGTTTCAAGCCAACGGGTGACAAGTTTTATTCTCATTTGGTGTTCATAAACGCATGAAATGGACTCGAACCTTTAGCCATTTATACAAAGGCAGCTCAGAAACTGACCTATTATGATTATGATCTTTCTTAAGTGTGTAATGTTGCTGTTTTAGCATGAAAAAGGGTTTCCTCCAGCGGGAGTTCTTCTCTATATCAGTGTCAGTGTGTTGAAACTGGCGGTTATGGTAAGGGGCGGGACATTTCCCAAACACACTCGAAGCTCTTGACCAATCACAACACACTGATCCAGCCGACCAATCAGAGCACAGTGTGCTTTCAGAAGGTGGGGCTTCATAGAGACAGGAACTATGAGAGTCTTACGATTGGATCGGGTAACCAAAATGTACTCATGGTTCCTTGTACAAGGCTGAACCGTAGAGGAGATAGAGCCTTTTCGGTGGTGGGACCGAGGTTGTGGAAGAGCCTGCCAGCACAACTTGGGGCGGCTCCCTCCCTATCACTTTTTAAATCTCTCTTGAAAACCCAATTGTTTTCTTTAGCTTTTAAATTATGTTGATGGTCTTATTTATTATGTGTTACTTAGTTTTCTGTTGTTTATCTGACTTGTACAGCACTTTGGTCAGTCCTCAGACTGTTTTTAAATATGCTTTAAATAAAAGAACTAGAACTAAACAGAGCGTTACTGACAGACTGGGAAGAGAGGAGCTGCAACAATGGAGAATATGAGGGAAAATAATGTGTTTATGAGCTTTCAGGCATGAGCCTGTTCTAGTAGAGCCTAAAAACTAGGGCTGCACGATTAATCACAATTTCCATGTAATCTCTCTTAAGCCGTTTTGGCTTATCGCGATTTTGAAATCGCAAAGGCTGCGATTATTTTTTATGCGCAGCTTGTCAGTGACGTACGGCTCTGTGATCATTAGTAAACGCGGCTCCATCTGAAAGCACTGCGAGTTTGAGTCGCTTATAACGTGCATTTGAAAAAGCAACACGCGTCAAACATCTTTCCAAAACAAAAGCATTTATGAACCTCTTATCCAACAAAAGACAACATTTAATAACATGCTTTTACTCCAAACTCACTTCATAACGACAGTAAGCTCATCCTTCTGTGAGATGATGTGCTTCTTACACAGAATAAGGCAGTCGTGTGTTTATTAGTCATGTTTAATCATTTAAAGCGCTTCTGTTTATTCAGCTACAGATAGTATGATGCCCGATAGGGTGTTATCGTACTTCAGCGGCGGGGCATATTTGGCGTGTGTGTGTGACGCCCTCTGGTGTTCAGATGATTTGGCGTGTGTGTGTGTGACGCCCTCTGGTGTTCAGATGATTTGGCGTGTGTGTGTGAGACGCCCTCTGGTGTTCAGATGATTTGCCGTGTGTGTGTGTGTGTGACGCCCTCTGGTGTTCAGATGATTTGACGTGTGTGTGTGTGTGTGTGTGTGTGAGACGCCCTCTGGTGTTCAGATGATTTGGCGTGTGTGTGTGACGCCCTCTGGTGTTCAGATGATTTGGCGTGTGTGTGTGAGACGCCCTCTGGTGTTCAGATGATTTGGCGTGTGTGTGTGAGACGCCCTCTGGTGTTCAGAAGATTTGGCGTGTGTGTGTGTGACGCCCTCTGGTGTTCAGATGATTTGGCGTGTGTGTGTGTGACGCCCTCTGGTGTTCAGAAGATTTGGCGTGTGTGTGTGAGACGCCCTCTGGTGTTCAGATGATTTGCCGTGTGTGTGTGTGTGTGACGCCCTCTGGTGTTCAGATGATTTGACGTGTGTGTGTGTGTGTGTGTGTGTGTGTGTGTGTGTGAGACGCCCTCTGGTGTTCAGATGATTTGGCGTGTGTGTGTGACGCCCTCTGGTGTTCAGATGATTTGGCGTGTGTGTGTGAGACGCCCTCTGGTGTTCAGATGATTTGGCGTGTGTGTGTGAGACGCCCTCTGGTGTTCAGAAGATTTGGCGTGTGTGTGTGAGACGCCCTCTGGTGTTCAGATGATTTGCCGTGTGTGTGACGCCCTCTGGTGTTCAGATGATTTGACGTGTGTGTGTGTGTGTGTGTGTGTGTGTGTGTGAGACGCCCTCTGGTGTTCAGATGATTTGGCGTGTGTGTGAGACGCCCTCTGGTGTTCAGCTGATTTGGCGTGTGTGTGAGACGCCCTCTGGTGTTCAGCTGATTTGGTGTGTGTGTGAGACGCCCTCTGGTGTTCAGATGATTTGGCGTGTGTGTGTGTGAAAAGCCCTCTGGTGTTTAGCTGATTTGGCGTGTGTGTGTGTGTGTGAGACGCCCTCTGGTGTTCAGATGATTTGGCGTGTGTGTGTGTGAGACGCCCTCTGGTGTTCAGATGATATGGCGTGTGAGTGTGTGTGTGAGACGCCCTCTGGTGTTCAGATGATTTGGCGTGTGTGTGTGTGTGTGTGTGAGACGCCCTCTGGTGTTCAGATGATTTAGCGTGTGTGTGTATGTGTGAGACGCCCTCTGGTGTTTAGCTGATTTGGCGTGTGTGTGTGTGTGTGTGAGACGCCCTCTGGTGTTTAGCTGATTTGGCGTGTGTGTGTGTGTGTGTGAGACGCCCTCTGGTGTTCAGATGATTTGACGTGTGTGTGAGACGCCCTCTGGTGTTCAGCTGATTTGGCGTGTGTGTGTGTGTGTGTGTGTGAGACGCCCTCTGGTGTTTAGCTGATTTGGCGTGTGTGTGTGTGTGTGTGTGAGACGCCCTCTGGTGTTTAGCTGATTTGGCGTGTGTGTGTGTGTGTGTGTGAGACGCCCTCTGGTGTTCAGCTGATTTGGCGTGTGTGTGTGTGTGTGTGTGAGACGCCCTCTGGTGTACAGATGATTTGCCGTGTGTGTGTGTGTGTGTGTGTGTGTGAGACGCCCTCTGGTGTTCAGATGATTTGACGTGTGTGTGTGTGTGTGTGTGTGAGACGCCCTCTGGTGTTCAGATGATTTGGCGTGTGTGTGAGACGCCCTCTGGTGTTCAGCTGATTTGGCGTGTGTGTGTGTCTGTGTGTGTGTGAGATGCCCTCTGGTGTTTAGCTGATTTGGCGTGTGTGTGTGTGTGAGACGCCCTCTGGTGTTCAGATGATTTGACGTGTGTGTGTGTGTGTGAGACGCCCTCTGGTGTTCAGATGATTTGGCGTGTGTGTGAGACGCCCTCTGGTGTTCAGCTGATTTGGCGTGTGTGTGTGTGTGTGAGACGCCCTCTGGTGTTCAGATGATTTGGCGTGTGTGTGTGTGTGTGAGACGCCCTCTGGTGTTCAGCTGATTTGGCGTGTGTGTGTGTGTGTGTGTGAGACGCCCTCTGGTGTTTAGCTGATTTAGCGTGTGTGTGTGTGTGAGACGCCCTCTGGTGTACAGATGATTTGCCGTGTGTGTGTGTGTGAGACGCCCTCTGGTGTTCAGATGATTTGACGTGTGTGTGTGTGAGACGCCCTCTGGTGTTCAGATGATTTGGCGTGTGTGTGAGACGCCCTCTGGTGTTCAGATGATTTGGTGTGTGTGTGTGAGACGCCTTCTGGTGTTCAGCTGATTTGGTGTGTGTGTGTGTGTGTGAGACGCCCTCTGGTGTTCAGCTGATTTGGCGTGTGTGTGAGACGCCCTCTGGTGTTCAGCTGATTTGGCGTGTGTGTGAGACGCCCTCTGGTGTTCAGATAATTTGGCGTGTGTGTGTGTGTGAGACGCCCTCTGGTGTTAAGCTGATTTGGCGTGTGTGTGTGTGTGTGAGATGTCCTCTGGTGTTCAGCTGATTTGGCGTGTGTGTGTGTGTGTGAGATGCCCTCTGGTGTTCAGCTGATTTGGCGTGTGTGTGTGTGTGTGTGACGCCCTCTGGTGTTCAGATGATTTGGCGTGTGTGTGTGAGACGCCCTCTGGTGTTCAGATGATTTGGCGTGTGTGTGTGAGACGCCCTCTGGTGTTCAGATGATTTGCCGTGTGTGTGTGTGTGTGACGCCCTCTGGTGTTCAGATGATTTGACGTGTGTGTGTGTGTGTGTGTGTGTGAGACGCCCTCTGGTGTTCAGATGATTTGGCGTGTGTGTGAGACGCCCTCTGGTGTTCAGCTGATTTGGCGTGTGTGTGAGACGCCCTCTGGTGTTCAGCTGATTTGGTGTGTGTGTGTGTGTGTGTGTGTGTGAGACGCCCTCTGGTGTTCAGATGATTTGGCGTGTGTGTGTGTGTGTGTGAAAAGCCCTCTGGTGTTTAGCTGATTTGGCGTGTGTGTGTGTGTGTGTGTGTGTGAGACGCCCTCTGGTGTTCAGATGATTTGGCGTGTGTGTGTGTGTGTGTGAGACGCCCTCTGGTGTTCAGATGATTTGGCGTGTGTGTGTGTGTGTGTGAGACGCCCTCTGGTGTTCAGATGATTTGGCGTGTGTGTGTGTGTGTGTGAGACGCCCTCTGGTGTTCAGATGATTTGGCGTGTGTGTGTGTGTGTGTGAGACGCCCTCTGGTGTTCAGATGATTTGGCGTGTGTGTGTATGTGTGAGACGCCCTCTGGTGTTTAGCTGATTTGGCGTGTGTGTGTGTGTGTGTGAGACGCCCTCTGGTGTTTAGCTGATTTGGCGTGTGTGTGAGATGCCCTCTGGTGTTCAGATGATTTGACGTGTGTGTGAGACGCCCTCTGGTGTTCAGATGATTTGACGTGTGTGTGAGACGCCCTCTGGTGTTCAGATGATTTGGCGTATGTGTGTGTGTGTGTGTGAGACGCCCTCTGGTGTTTAGCTGATTTGGCGTATGTGTGTGTGTGTGTGTGAGACGCCCTCTGGTGTTTAGCTGATTTGGCGTATGTGTGTGTGTGTGTGTGAGACGCCCTCTGGTGTACAGATGATTTGCCGTGTGTGTGTGTGTGTGTGTGAGACGCCCTCTGGTGTTCAGCTGATTTGGCGTGTGTGTGTGTCTGTGTGTGTGTGAGATGCCCTCTGGTGTTTAGCTGATTTGGCGTGTGTGTGTGTGTGTGTGTGTGTGAGACGCCCTCTGGTGTTCAGATGATTTGACGTGTGTG